TTCTTCTTCTTCTGAACTGCTTCCTGGAACTCGGATATTCTCCTCTATTGATGGCCGAGTTATCACTTCACTGGGTACTCCTCCAAGCCCTGACTGACGGCGCGTGGCAACAGTCAGAAAGTACGCTTATTTGCTTATCTGGTCATCACCATGAAGAAAATAAACTTGGCCTAAAACTCTCCTGTTTCTGTGGGGATTCTGAATCAAATCGACTGGGAATGTGATCGGGCAAAACGACATAGAATGGGCATGGTGAAAAAAGGGATTGGATGGCTCACCTTAGCCAGCGGTGTTTCGCTGAATCGCCCAGCAGTTAGCAGGGAGTCTGGGGACAGGGCCATGTCACAAGCCTGACGGACAGAGATCCAAAGGGCAAATAGGGCCTTCTCCTGGTGACTGACATCCAGACTAGGAGAGAGTTCATTCCGTCTTGAGAGGCAGAGGGCTCTGTTGGGGGGGAGGGTTACAACTCTTTGTAATATTGAGTCACAGAGGTAAAAGATTAAGAAAAAGGAAATAGTTGATAAACCAAGGTTCCAGTCACACTATCCGGAAGTTGACAGCAAGTTTAAGCAACGGCTGTAGACCACTCAACAAGTAGAAATCCCTTTTATGTTGTGCACGGGCCGTTGGATAGAAAATGATATTCTACGGAGGAAACTATATTGACGAGAATGAAGTATCATGGCAGAGAAGGACCGATCAACTGATTGATTTGACGACCCTCGGAGGCCTTTAAAATATAAAACATAGTAAATCTTTGAGAACTTAACAGATTCTTTGACTCAATTTGCACGCTAGGCGAAAACAAGTTCTTGTACTTTTGCCTAATTAGTAAATGATATGTTAAAGCCTCGGCGAGGATTCTAGCAATTGTTGAAACACTATGAAAGAAGTTGTATATCGATCTTTGGGCAAAAGTACAAACTTCTGCAACGCCAAATCCTTCCCAAGCACATGTTTTTGAATGGGAGACTGGACACTTTGCTAGACGGGATCGACTGAAGTTCGTATAATTTAATTTTACTTGAAATGCAGTGAGGGCTACGCTAAGTTGTTATTAATTTTCAAATGAGGTGCCCGAACATATTCGTACACGGTTTCCTTAGATTCCTCGGGAAGGGTTCTCGACAGTAATGAAAGTCCGAAGAAGAAGCGATCTTCTTCTTCTTCTTCTTCTTCTTCTTCTTCTT